CATCAGCGGCTTTTTTTTGGACCACATGGTCCCATTGAAGTTTTTTTGTCAAGTAAACCGTGCCCGAATCTCAATGTTGTTGCTGGACAAATAGAGAGTCAAGACAATTGGGCTGTCCTGATGAACAAGCTTCAAAATGCATTGGTTTTCCATTCCAATACTGCTCAGAGACCCTGAGGTACGCCTCCTTGGAGTTAGCATGGCAAGTGCATTTCCAACGCCTCAAGCAGCAACCTGCTGGCTGCGAAACCATGGCCGCCGTTCCTACCGCCAGGTGTGTTTTTTGAGCTCCACGATGCTCGATTTGCTCCCCGCTCGAGAGGGAGGGATGGGTCAATAGATGTCTACAGTGTAAAGCTGGAGGAGTTGGAGGAGTCTTTGGAGGTCCACCTTTTTGAGCCTTTGTCGGTAATTTTCCATAGCTCAGTTTTCTTGCAGATTGTAAGTCACAGATGCTGGAGTAAGTGCCAGATGAGAATGCCTTTGGATCAACAAATGGCGTGTCAACACCTATCTATCTATCTATCTAGCTAGCTATCTAGCTATCTATCCATCTATTTCTCTGTGTCTATATCTACATCTGCATCTATATCTACATATTATATAGTTATATCATTCTTAATTTAGGCCAACCTTTGATATGCGAAACAACCCGGCCCCCGCCAAAAGCCACCGGAAGATCTCCCACCGGACAGGCCCTCTCGGAGCTCGCCGGTGCCCATGACCATCGCCGAGCTTGAGGAGTCGGATGCCGCTCTCTCCGCCGCGGTGGAGCCTGGGAAGGCGGGGAGCCACCGTGGAGCCTTCAGAGCACAGCTGTTTGGACGCTCCAGAGCACAGCGGAAGGCCTGAAGGTTCAGAGAACTGGGACCCTGACTTATGGTGTTTGTTTGTTTTTTTTTCTGGCGGGAGAGGCTGTAGTTGGCATGAGTTGGCTGAAAGTGGGCCCTGACCGGATGGTCAGATTTGGTGTGTTGGGAAAATCCTGAAGACTCACCCATGTTCACTTGATAGGAGGATGACTGAGTGCCACAGGCTATTCTATAGGAACTCAAGATGGTTCAGGGTGATGACTGTACCGTGCGCACCCAGATCCTTGCCAGATGTTCCAAATAGAGCATTCGATTCTACTGGAGCTTGATGTCAACTTGCTTGTCTATAGCAAGCTTCCTACGAAAAGGCCTCCATGTCTGACCCGGCCGCATTCTACCCTCAGTGCCCTCCCGGTCATCGGATCCGTCACGCTGGTTCGGATGGGCAGGTCGCCCTTCCCAACTTCGGCGACGACCTGGGAAGCCAGGTCCGAGATTTCCCGGGCGACTCGCGTGCGGCGGCGTTCATGTGTGAGGTTGACAAAGAGTCTTTACACGTGAGGTTGAGCGATCCACTTCGGGGATTGCATGAGAGTTATTTTGTTCTCAGGGCGCTGAAACACTTGGAAACAAACATGTGAGGGTGGGGGAGCGACGGCGTTAACGCTTCGGTTGGCTTAACAGTCGCGAGGCAAGAGGTTCAGTGTTTGGGGACGCTTGGTTTGGAGAAGGCAGTTGTTTGGTGGCAACATTGTCGGAGGGTATTCTTGGGGCGTGTGTTTCAAGGGTACTTTTGGAGAGCACCCGGACGTTCATCAATAACCCAAAGAAGTCGTTGTCTCTGTGCTCTCCAATGAGGGTTGAATGGCTACTTAGATCAGATGAAGTTCACCTGCGATGTTTCCTCCGTTGGTCGAAGAAGCACAGCTGTCGCAGGGTGCCTATTTGGATTATGTCGGAGCGCCGCAAGCAGCTGCTGCAGCCATCGCACGCTTTGGAAAGGAGAACCCCATGGCAGCAGGGTACCAGGCGGTGAAAGGGGTGGACCTCGACTCTGAGTGTTCTTAGCTTATCTATAGAATCTATAGGTACCTGTTTGCACGCCCAGCTTCCAAGGTGATTCGATGCTCTCCAAATAGATCATTCATGATAATTCCAAACCCAAGATGGTCGCGACCATTGTCCAAAAGCTGCTGCACCATGCAGAGTCGTGTCCAGGGTCTAGTCCAATCACCTAGACACAGATGAAAATCCTGACATGGTTGCGGAGTTGGATAGATGTCGTCAACGGTCTTGGAGGCGTCTCGCTCTTTTTTCAAAGATACGCGCACATGATGCGTGTGCTATAGTTTATATTTGTAACTATAACTATGTCAAGGATATGTACCACATATATATATAATATGAACTAACGCATACTAACGCCCCCGTTATTTAAGATGACCGTAGTAGTTTTGTGCTAAGGATGTCTTTTTGTCAGGTATTCCGTTCCTATTGTGTTCCTGTTTTTGTTTTATATTTTGACATATGCGCTGCGAAGTGGACAAAACGGTCGTTTCGGGCATCTTTGTATATATATATATATACATTATCTCTTACAAATAGTTAATAACTGTTAATAACTATGTACTGTACTGTCAAAGCCGCACATATATATATATATATTGTTGTACATATGCATCTGTATTTACACATATACATATATATATAGTTGAACTCAGGATTGTTTGGGTTAGGCAAGTCCCTTTTCAGTGACCGGGTCGGGCGTAAACGCCGGAGCCATGCCATGCCTCGCACGGCGAACAGGTCATCAAGGCGTCCGCGCCGCAGCGGCCCATGAAGATCCGCCTCTGAGTCAAACAGCGCGGAGAATTCAGGAGGCTGAAGTGATTAAACCCGGGCAACCAGTTGGAATTGAGCAAACTCCAGGGTGTGATGTGCTCAATCTCAGGTGCAAGAATTCCCTAATCGGCCCTTGCTGCTTCGGCTCCTGAAGAAGACTCCCGCGAAACGGCTCGAAGGGATCCACTATTTTCCATTTACAGCCCTGTTCCGCTGGGTGTTCTTTACACTTTCCTTTGTTTTAATCATCCTTACCTTCCGTCTTATATATAAACAGAAAATGTGTCGATGACCCATATATGCATGGATTTCAATTGCCTATCTATACATGGAATAAGGGGAGGGTTCAGCGCCATATGCTTTGCACGCAGTGTCTTTTTTCTTGGGTGTAGATGGCACACGAACGCTGCAAAAGTTCCATATCTGAAGACCAACTGATTTTCCCCCTAGAGTGCTATTCCGGGTTCCAGGTTGTTCCGGCTTTCTTCCATCCATGACACCGGAAGCTGCAGGGTATTCACATTCTCCCATGATTTATGGCAAATGGAGCTCGGAGCTCTCACGAGCCATGGGAGGATTCACCACTCGATTTCGTTCCTCAAGAAGCCACGAGCCATGGGAGGATTCACCACTCGATTTCATTCCTCAAGAAGCCCCTTCTGACTAGCTTTGGCTCAGATGGCTTGAGGAGATTCGTCAACTCCCGAAGCCCTTGAGACCTTGTGATGGATTTGACATGGATTGACCCTTTTTGTGACCTAAATTTCTGGAGTGTTTTTTGGATGAGCCTGGAGTTATTCAATGATCTTGTCTTTGAAGTATGTTGAGAGATTTAGTGTAGAGAGAAATGCGCCGTTGATGGATGTTTCCTTTTGATGGATGATCGTTTATGCATGGGTGTCACGCCTCAGGAAATGTGGACCCTGCGCTGCAGAAATGGCAAGATGCTACTTGGCAAGTTGTTTTATTCAGGTTGCATCTTTGTATTTAAGCCACCGCCCCTATACAATGTTTGCACGCTTGCACTTGCCCCTCTCCTGTCACAAGCAAATAAACAAGTGTCATCAGCGACTATCCCCACAACGTAGCCGACTGTCTTGCACCTGCCCCCTTGTGTAGTCAAGAAACTTGGATTGCAGGAACCCTACCTGGACTGTATTTGTACAATCCTTACTCTTAAATTGTTTGAAAGGCAAACATGTATGTATATGGATGTATATGGAAGGCTTAGATTTTGAAGAACCCGCACTTGCGCGAGATTCAAGACCTGGAGAAAACGAGAACCGACTGCTGGTCACTTCCACCGAAGCTGGGCCATACCAAAGAAGCTTCCTCCCACCGAAGCTTCCTCCCCGAACCGTCTCAGGACGCCTTCTCTGAATGGCGAAGATAAACGAAACAAATTCAGACTGCAACAGTGAGGCCAAATGGCCTCCGGAATCAGATGCCCAAGCTAATGGGGCAGCAAGCACCGCTTGCGGTGGTGAACCCAGGGTCAGGTAAAGATTTTACAGGCATCTCTCAAAAGACGTGCACCATTCATAACAGATCAATGAAGGCTCCCTCTTCCAAGAAAAGACATCGTTTCAATTCATGTCATATCGTTTCGTCGGTTTAGTCGGTTGATTCAGCCATGATGCTTTGACAAATCTTTGTCTTTCTGGAGGGGTGCTCAAACCTCCTAAGCTTCCCACCTGGGCCCAGAGGCAGGCAGTGTGGACCGCAACAAAATGCGGGAATAAGTGCGAAATGAAGGCCAAAACATGCCACGAGCAGCCAAAAATCAGAGCTGGGCAGCCATAAACAGCCTTACGGCTTGCTGGAAGATGGGGTGGTGTGGCCCTGGAAAGTGTACCGACGACACAGGGCACTGGGCACTGGACTTTTATCGCGAGAACCCCTTGTTGTCACGGTTAGGGTAAAACATGTGATCATACCCTTGCAGTACCCACCATGAATGGCACATGTTGGAGCAACAGTTTTGGACGTGCTCCTGAAAGTGAGGCTAACTGCAGCGGATCATGGAGCCGCTGATATGATTATTACCTGCATTTATAGTTGCGCTGCATAAGCATATTTATGTGTACAGTAATTCTATTCAACACTATAAGATTATAAAGGTACAAGTTGAGGGGAATCTTTGGCCAACCCATTTTTTGCTGCTTTCAGGACCGTTGATCGATTTACGTTGCGAAAGGCACCACAGCACCATCGACTCCGAGTGGGTGTGGTCACTGACCTAACCGGGAAGTTAGTTAGTTGCGACGTCCAATCCTCAACCGGAAACGCAAACTCAAGCAACGAGTGGTACACAAATCGTGGTACAGATCACTTTTTCTCCGCCGCAGACTCCCCGCCGCCGTCCAGCTGCTCACTTCCCCATTCAAAGAGGCATGTCAAGCGCGAGGAGCACGACCTTCATGATCAATCTGATCAGCGGCCAGGAATTTGAGGTCCGTCATCCCTGAACCACTCGTTCAACTCGCATGATTGTGGACCACACAGAGACAAGATTGAAAACTTTGAATCAATTGAAGATGAGTCTGAAAACTGCATTCGCATTCACCTGTTCAACAGACGTTCAGGAGCTCCACGATGCGTATCCATGCATATCTGTGGTTTAGGTTGCTCCAAAGACGAGCTGTTCCGCAACTGCTCTCTCCTTGTTTTTGGGCAGGTTTGCGCACAGCATGCAATAAGTATCCACACGTGCTGTGCCCGCGGTGCACACATGCGAAAGGCATTGCATGCGAAAGACGTCATGTCCTTTTGCTGGCGAGGTGCAAGCTTTCAGCAACCGCGTTTCAGATCTGAAAGATGCGATTGAAAAGTTCAAGGCCATCCCAGCGCAGCTTGGAGGTGATACCGGACGATGTGTTTGAGAGACATTGAGACAGCCAGCCTGTTTATTCATCATGTACATGAATATAGAAATAGCTGTTTTATATGGCTTACTCTCGTAGGCGCCTCACTGTTTAGAGTCAGAGTGGGTACAAGATATCCTCAAACAAGTCTATGAAGTTGCCACTTGCCACCCACCGATTCTGATTTCCTTGTGTGCATGACAAGAGTCGCCCCTGACAGCCTGAATCCCTAACACACACACACACCACGCGTGTTGTTCTGGTGGTGTTCCGTAGCTCTTGTGCATCAACCGTCTTGGAGGGAGTTCCTGGGAGGCGTCCCACAGAGCATCTAGAAACGAGAAGCACCCGCTTTGATCAGCCAGCGAACTTGGGGCCCATCACCCTGTAGCTTTGCCCATTTGTTCAATGGCATGGCCTAGGTATGATCAAACCTTGGTGTGTGATGGTGCAGAACTGCACAACCTGGCCAAGGCCTTCTCTCCGCTGTTTTTGGTGTCGAAACGTTGCCCCCCAAAATCAAGGCCGTCCCCATGCAGTGCGCAGGTTGACGACAACGGTCCGGACAGTTCTGTCCGATATAATATATATATATAGTTGCACGGTGCCGGACGGCTTGGCGGGTCAAGCCAGCTAGAGAGAGAGAGAGAGTGACAGAGAGAGAGAGAGCAGTCAGATGGTGGAACAGAATGGCGAAGATTTGGTGGAAGATGATGCATCCAATAGTTTGGGTATTGTTCTTGGGTCAAGTTCCACCAGCCTCCGACTCCAGTGTCCATAAAGCGGTCACCGGACTGAGTCCGGGTCGCCGGGAGTCGCTGGCGCCAAGAACTGGTTTTTTGTTGATACCACTTACGGACGGGTACGGACGCTGGCGCCATATGTGCCCCCCCCAGCGGTCAATGATTCCTCTTCACAACCTTGTCTACTTTTGGGCATGCTGCCATGCTGCTTGAAGCTATTTTCGTTCAAATTTGGCCAACTGGCTAGGCGTGACCATCTCGTCAATTGCAAAGGGGCGCACATGTGTGCGCCAGAGGCATTTGCTGGATTTTGTTCGCAGGTGGATCCTGGCAGCAACCTCTTGCTGGTGATTGGCAATTCTTTCACCAACATGGCTCGGGAGTTTATCCTGAATACTTCGACCCTGGGCAGCAAGAAGTTGGGTAGATTGGAATATGATTGGAATATTTATTTGTATACTTGTTTTACTATATATATAGGGATCAGTTTGCCTTGTCAATAGAACCGCAGAGGATCTTTGGAGTCCACTCACTGCCGTGGTACATCTTTCAACAAGCACTTCAACGATCCAAGCGTCAAACCGACCTCAAACGGGGGCGGAGCACCGCTCAGCATGGTGAGCGCCCACCAATCACGCCAAGCGCATGGCACCTGCCGAGTTCATAGCTAGCCTTCTATAGATCATGCCTTAAAAGCTGCAGCTCTCAGAGATGGACAACTATGAACACCCACGTCCGAACCGAACACTGTTCCTGATCCTGCAGGGGGGGGTGACCTGCTCCACTGGGGGTCGCCACACAATAATTTGTGTGTGTGACTTCTTTTGTATACCTCCCATCATGTAGACTCTTGATTGATAACACCCACCCATTTGGATTAAAACCTCTTCTATCCTCCCCATTCCGAATCCGCACAGACGCGGCGCCCCATTGGGCGGATCAATCTGGACACAAGTGGACACACTGGACACAACAGCGACTATCGCACCGAAATTGGAGTGAAAGTGCACAAACTGAATGACCAACTCCCAGGTGAAAAGATGCTTCGAACACCCTCCAATCACAGCAGTTCACCGAAAGTCATTCATCGAGAGAGAAACCGAAGTGCAGCACCAACGAGAGAAAAGCCTTGCGGCAATGCTCGGTCTCTTTTTGAGGCGGTATTGATTGGTCACACGTGGCAGACAGATCCCGTCTGACTGGGAGTAGCAGACGTGTTTCAGGTCCGGCCAGGTCGACATGTCTCGGTCTCTGAAAGTTGCATCACCGTCAACGCTCAAGGTTTAGAAGAAAATACCCTCTCTTCCAGAATTTTTGTTGGGGGTTTTACTAATCCAGAGTCTTCATTATACAAAAGCTTCGAAGGATGAAGCTCAGTACAAACATGCCTGCGGTATCCTGCGGTACGAGGAGTGGCTATGGTCACGTGTATCGACCACTGTGGGGTCGCCCGAGCTCCCAGATGGATGCCCAGGCACGAGCTCCGAGGGTCCTTCCTTTCGGGCAAAGGGCATGGGGCGCATGTGGCCGATGTAGGATGAATCTAGGTTGTTGATTTGTTGGAAGTGTAAGGCAGTGGAAGGCACATCCTGAGGTCAAGACGAAAACGAAGAAGTGCTTCGTTCCTCACGGATTCCATGCGCATCCTTGCTGCAGCAAGGCTATTCGGACCAACTGCAAATCCAACAAAAAACCTATAGTTACCTATAGTTCTCCAAAGTTCTCCTATGCTTTGTCTGGGCATCCACACCTCACGCGCCCGGAATCGAACAGCTCGTCCAACCGGACCTCGAAAAGTCCTCCGAAAAAGGCCTTGCTGCAGAGCTGTACCGTGGCGGCACAGCGAAGGCAGATGGAAGGTTGCGAAGTCAATCAACAGCTGGTCTACCTCTCCCAGGAGCGGATTTCCCACAGGAAAATGGAGCACATGCTCGGCTTTGGGAGATATAGTTTGGAAGTGCCACGGATGGAGATATACCCTAGTTGGAGTTACTTCACAATTGGGGGGAGTTCTTTTGGGACGGCTGCACCGCAGCCAGACTGTTAAGAAAGAGAAGCCCTCGATCCCTTGAGAGAGGCAGCAACATGCAGCAACAAGTCACTTGGAACCGAGTGGAGCACAAAAGCCGAGCTGTGACAGATGTTTTATTCCCCCTTGTAATTCTGTATGCCACGAAAATAACTGGGATGATCACTAAGGGGATTGGGCATGGACTTGTTTTAGACATGTCGGCAGATCATGTTATGCGCCTCTATGCTTAGTGTTAACCATTTGCTCTACGCTTGGCAAGTGCAGTTGTGTACACATGGTACGGTCAAAACGCTTAAAGATGTTTAAAGACCATGTATTATCCAAACACCCTGTGCCAGGAACACATGGAAGACTATTTATCCCGACTGGAGACTTGCGACATGGCGCTGGAAGCGGAAGCACGGAGGAACCAGATCTTCACGGTGCCTGAGTGGAGAGTCAAAAGTTCGTTGAGTCCTGTTGAGTCCAATGTCGTGTCAAGATTGGATTGGTATATACTGTATACAAGTAGTTCGCCCGTGTATGGAAGAGTCATGGACACTTGTGTATGGAGATTTGGGACACTTGACTAGGCAGCAAACATGGCATAATAGCTCAAAAAGGTCATTGCAGCTGGACAGAATTGCACAGATAGTGGGTGGCCTTGCAGATTTGTAGCAGGTTTGGGGGATGTATTTCTTAAGGTGTTTGATTTTGTGTTTCTTCAATTTCAAGGCAGGGTGTGGTGGGGTGCTTCTCCTTCGGCAGTCTTGAGCACAAATAGCTGGCAGCGGTGTTTTTGAACATGTTGGACCGCAGGCAACTTGCTCCAAGAGTCCTAAGTGGGTACACTTGATTGCTGTTGTGTCTTTGCAGTTCGAATTGAATCCATGCAACAAGCCTTTGCCGCTGGCTGTCTTCCTCTCCCCCAAAAAGAGGGTCTGTTGCGAAGGTTCGGCGTCGATTCCGCCTCTTGAGGACCGCTACGATATGGACATCCTAAACTTGACCCAGGGTGACATGCCCATGAAGGCGACGTCTGGACCGACGGTCCAGACGTACGACGGATTCGGATCGGTCGAAAAAGGAAGACCGGTGGAAGGATCTGCCCAGAAGCAATGATGTCGTGAGGGGTGTTCGGAACAACCATGTTGACGTAATTACCTCTTTTCATCCAGCTAAAGCAACCACACGGCGTGCGACCCGTGAAATGTGCTTTTGCCATGGTTTGTCGTGGATACTTTTTGGCCAAAAGGCACCCCGTGCCTACCAGGTAGTGTCCTAGAGGGAACAATGGCGAGATGCACTGGGGATGGCCCTAGTAGGGCACTGGCCCTGTGGCCCACTGCGGATCCACTGGGCCCTGTTAGGCGCTGTTGGACTACCGCGAGAGGTGCTGGGATGACTCGCAGGTGGAACGAGCACGACGGAGCGCGCAAGAGCGGGAGCCGTGACGGAAAGATCGGGACATGGCGGAGGAAAGTCGCAGATGTCGAAGTAGAAAGTGCTGAGGACATAGGACCGACACTTGCAACCTAGCTGTTTTTCTCCCATGAAGTCACCAAGCAGAGTACCAAGCAGTTCAGTAAGATCACTGGGCTGGTGCCAATGTATCACTTTCGAAGGTGCCCCCTTCCGGCGCTACCTTGTGGAGTTTCAACTTTCCATTTGCCACCATGTTTCAACTTTCCATTTGGAGTTTCGACTCAGTGCTGAGGACTTGGTGTTTGTGGATCCTGTGGAGGCAGAGGTCTTGAAGAATTGGGAGAACACCTGAGCCTCAACTGGATAGTGATGGGGCACCAGTCCGACCGTGCAAGGGGGAAATGGAGGGGAGCGATGAGTCCTCCATGGTTCAACTGCCCTGTCCAGCAACCAAACATATGTTGCCGTGCAGAAGTTTGATCACAGTTTCTGGATTCCTACCTGGCGGGCTATAGATATCTATAGACTATAGATGATATGTTCGCGCAAGGGCCTTCAGCGCAAGGAAGCAAGTCACGCATTCAGATGATGATGCAGGCTACAACACCAGAGATAACCGAGTGAGGTGTGAACGACTTCCCTTCGTCCAGGAATTAAGTCCACATCTGATCAGCCCCACAATGTGAACTCACCATGTGACTCGGTTTTTCGGATCATCTCCTTTCGCGACTTGCTTCCGACTGTCTGTCTTTTCCACCGAGCCTTCGGCTTTCCCGCCTTCCACAGGCATTGATTCCAGCACGTGGGCGCTGTGGCGCTGGAGACATGCGGAGACGATGGCCGCATTTGGTGTGGAGACTGAAGTCTTGGGTGCCGAAAACGGTTGATTTAGTATGAGTTGGTTTGGTTGATGTTCAGATTGACATTGGTTGAGATCTCTCGTTTATTCAGCTGGTTCCTGGTGTGGCTTTTATTTTCGGGCTCCGAATCCCTTCGCGAGAAATTTGCTGAGGATGAGGTGCCCGCATCTGGCGACTTGACAGTGGTGGGCGACAGAAGAAGAAACCGGACATAGACCATCATAGACCTTCATAGTGGGGTCGGGGCAGGGGATGCCAGCTCACTTGGATACTCGCATAAAGAATGCTCCTCAGTGCATACCTTCTATGCACCACAAAAGGCACCACTTACTTAAATGAACGGTGCTGTGTTTGAACTGTTCTTGGTGTATGTGAGTTTTACAGTTGCTCATGTTGTGTTTTCTCGGTCACTTGCAAATCCGACTTGAATCCAGGGACCAAAATGCCTGACGATGCAGCAACATGCAGTAACTACATGAAGTCCAGGGGGTCATCCCCTCACTTGGGTTCCTAAGACATAGCATATGTCTTCGTGTCAGCAGTTGACCCTTGACCTATGACCTTTTAGGGGACGGTCTTACTTAAAGCGAGTTCCGCCGCATTGGGGCGTTGTTGGCTGATCCTTTTTGCTTCCTACATTTGGGGAGGAGCGGTCTCGGTCTCGAGGTCTCAAGCGCCTTTTTCGGGAGAACGAAGGAAGAAAGTAGATGAGCCAGGCGCCTAAGTGAAGCCATCATGCAACCTCTCCATCATTTGAATCCAGGTATTCAAGACAGACTCCGGTGGAGACCTTTTGGACTTCTCCCTTGGGCCGGTTGACCAGTTCGAACCTTCGGGGTCCGCTCTTCAGGTGATGAGCTGGGTGCTGGATGGCGTGAGCTCCTGCGGGTGGGTACCGAAACGGGTCGGTTTCGAGAAGCGAAAGGATTCAGAACGAAGGACACAAGGAAACAGCAAGCTCAGCGATGTGATATGAGTATGTAAGTGATTGCCGGTATATGGCATAAGTGTTTATGGTTGATTTGAAGCCCTTTGGAGGCTTTCCAGAGATGTCCCCTCAGCAGTGCAGGGTACTCAAGGAATTAGACTCAAGGAAGCTTCAGCGTAAGCCAATCCAGGCCCCAAGATGGGCTCAATCCTGGCGCTTCCATCATGACCAGATCCAAACACCGAAGAAGAGGCCTTGGACCTCAACCCTTCCTGTGTTTGGTTTGCTGGGGTACCAGATCGATCCCAACCCCGAGCAAGAGGTCTTGTGCCTCAACTCTGTTTGGGGTGCGCTGGGTTACCAGATCCAAACCCAAGAAGAAGAGGTCTTGGGCCTCAACCCTTCCTTGTTGGGGCCCGAACCCCGAAAAGAGAGCTAACCGCGGTTCACGGATTACCGATTAGGCTTCGGATTGCGCAGTGGAACGGATTGAACAAAACATGGATTCCTCGGATTGCGGAGTGTGCTGATTAGGGTGTGGCAGGCTTGGAACAGTTTAGATAGAATATAAGATGAATTTAAGTTTTATTCGTAGCCTCATGTCTTCAACTTTGATATTTGCTGAGCTGCATAAGCGGCTGCCAGGTTTAAGGCATGTTCGAGCCAAGGATAAGATTTGTTTTGATGGCTATGAAGATGGCTTCCAAGCCCAGTAGCTGCGGCTCTAAAGAATCATTGGCTCAGACTCAGACGTCCAAAAACGGCTAGGGGCCCTAGGGGTGGCACGTCTCAGCCAGGTCAGCGGCGGGCAGCCCAGGCCAATCCGTTGGCCTACCCTCCCAGCGGCCCCAGCTCCTGGGCGTATAGATTTGTCAGATGTGTATCTTCTACTTAAGCTCCTTGAGGTGGTTGTGAGTGTTGTTGGGGGTTGCGCGGGTCTGTGAAGAAGGCTTACGCCGGTGTAGTGCGTAGAGCAAGGGTGTTTGGGGTATATAATATGTTCGGGCGCATCTCAATATTACAATATTCTCACCCGGCAAACTGAGGTTAGGGTTGTTCTGAACGCCATGCACCTCATGCACCTCTTCACCCCAACTTGCTTCTTGCAAGTCGGTCAGGTCTATGCAAGTCCAAGCCACATCCTACTGGAGGGATCGGCATTCACGGGCCATTCCGACCAGGTTCTGACCCTGGACCTGGAGCTGGGCGCCATTCTGATTTGCGGCCAGTCGGTGGAGCCTCAAGATTCCTGGCGATTGCTAGAGGGAGCTGGTTGTTCTTGCAGCTTGGATTGGATAAAGATGGTTTTCGGGAGTCCTTTCAATTATGGTGGATTTATATGGACCCCCATTCTGTCTAGGACATCTTGGGGTCTTTGCCATCTACTCTGAAACCACCGTAGCCGGTCGGATTGTAGCGAGACCAAGCGGCCTCTCGAGACCAAGCGGCCTCTCGGTCCGGCGGGTGGTCGTCCACCGGTGCCGAGCGCCGTCCAAGCTGGTCAGGCTGGGTCGTCCAGTCCATGCTTTTGCAGCAGATGCTGGAGGATGGTACGTGGACGGCGGAGAACTGGCGAAGAGTGTTCGTAGCTTTGAGAACGGGAGAAGGGATGGGGTAGTTGAGCAGGGATTTCGTACAACAGGATCGTCGATTCGATTCGTTGGATCTTTTACTTGTTTTGTCCTTTTCGGAGGGATGCTGCCACTTGCCATTTGGCATGCCTCGTCACCAGTTTTGGAATTGCCGGGGGTCAGTAAGGTCCTACCCTGCCTGACTGGAAAAAGACCTTTACCTGCCGCGCGTGTGAACTTTCGATCGACCATCTCATTAACTTTCCAGTGGTGAGTTCCCATCCATCAACTTCCAAAAGTAGCCAGGATTCGCACATACTAGGAGACCAACTCGTTGAAACACCAGGTTCTAACAAAATTTGCTTTAGGATGGTCAAAGATTAACATGTCCTGTTGTTCCTGACAGTCCCTGAGTTTTGTTTTCCCGCTCGAGTCTTCAAATTTCAGCTGAGTTTGCACCCTCGAGTCACTCATATCAGTATATATGTATATATCCATCCATCTATTCAACATGTTCAATGGTCCTAGCATCAAGCCTAGCAATTTTGCACATGCTCAACTGACAATTCTTCAGCATGCGCAGATTTATTCGTGTGCTGGGTGTGGTCATCGGGAAGATCACTATTTGGCACGCAGATATGAAGTAAAGATGAATTGGTTTAAGGAAAAACCTGCAGGACACCCTGTTTTCACCACCAAAACTATGATCTTCCTGTAGATTTTCCCTTACACCAATTCTGGGAAAGTCAACATGACATGCAACCGTTGCACTTCTAAATATCAGTGATCCAACGACTAGACCTACTCGAACAAAGCTCAGGCTGACTTTCGGTTAGAGATCCGGACCTGTTCCTTCTTGAGCCTTGGTGCCGAAGCATAGACAAGTGTGGAAGACAAGTGGGGATGGCCGGTATTTTTATCGCACAGGCAAGTTTCTGTGGGAAAGGGAGAAGGCTTGCTTTTGTTTGACCTACCTAGGGTCATCCAAGCTCTATAAGCACCAGATGGCAACAGTGAGTATCCAAACAGACTGGAGGTGAATCGCATCCTCCAACGAACCTCATCAGTCAAGTAGGATTTGGCTGGCGGTTCAGAAGCTTGAGGATACTCACCTTTTTGCAGCAACTCTTTGCAAACAGGATGGCAGATACCGGCTTTTCAAGTTGGACATCCCATGTAGAGCTTGGAGTTGATGCATGATTGAAGAACCAGATATGATCAAAAATGCTCGAACACGGGACCCTTCACAAGGCCCACACGCCAATACAAAGCCGCGAGCACCCTAAAGAAATCTAAAGAACATGTTACTACCGTAGGTTGCTGCCCTGGGTATCCCTAGGATACATATGCTCATATGCTTGCTACATTCTAGATGTTCCCGAGTGAGCAAATCTCGATGAGTCCGAAGCAGAGCCCGGGTTGCTAATGATGTTGACCAATCGCGAAGCCGCGAAGCACTCGAAAAGACCACTTGGGAAAGCACTCGAGAAGACCCCGTGGTGGTGCCCAAGCTGCTGGAACCGGCGAGCGCGAACAGCCAAGGATTCTAGAGCCGAGCTGCCAGCCGATGTCCTGGCGCACCAAGATTTGCAAATCCTTGATGGAGCTTCGTGCCTTGACGAAACGCCAGCGCCGGAACCTCGAGGCTGGTGGCTCTTAGTGGCTGGGTCATAGAAAAGCACCACACAGGGGTCAAGTTCAAGCCCAACATGAAACATGGAACCCTTTTTGGAAAGTTATCGTTTGACAGACCTGTTCCCGCAGTGACAGAGGACCTCCCAGCTTGTATTTCTGGATGGGCACCTCCCACGGCTGTCTTGAGCTCCCTGTTGGTCCGTTGCACCTCCCACGGACTTCCCGTGGACTTCCCAAAACGCTTTCCACAGCATGGTTTGACGGAAAGGCCTCAGGCGTTTCCCGTGCAAGCTCCAAGCAGTTCCATTCAATGGTGGTGGTTGTACCTTAACGGTCCACACCCGGTCCACACCAGACCCCGCAGGAGTGGGGGAACCGTGACCCGCCTGTTTGCGTGGCACCGGGGCATTGAACTGACGCATGACGCATGACGCATGAGCGATACCGGCCCTCATTCAGTCTGGTGTTTTTGGAAAGGACCGTCCCTCTGTTGTCGCCTGCCAATCCTGCCCGCCGGCCAAGTTTTTTCTTTCGCACACAGAAATCCGGGCACAACATACTTGTCTCAGCCTCGAGAGATTTCCACCCACATGGCCCACATGGCATGTTGCGTACATCTCTTATGGCCTGGACCTAGAGTTGCGATGTTGTGTCACATCTCTTATGGCCTGGATGTTTGACAAGCATGGTCACCCTGTAGGCGTCGAGGCAGTTGGGTGCCTTCTGTCCCTCTCCATGATGGCCAGTGCGTTGCAAGTGATGCTCGCCTTTCAACGAAGCCAATCGGAGGGAACAGTCCGTGTCAGAGCCAAATCAACGACCTCCCAGGTTTAACTCCAGTTTCTAAGGCGGAACCGCCCTGTTTCCTTTTTGCGTTTTCCAAAGGTTTTTTGACAGGACATCCCTTGCCTCCAACCCTTGGTGCATTGGTGTCCAGCGCTTTGGCCTTTGTCAGGCCAGGTGTGAAACATGCCACCTAAGTCCGAGTGTTGGCCAGAATCAGGCCTCAATAAAATGATGGCAGGTGATGCTAGGAAAACATCCACACATACACGAGCCGATTTCTGTTCGTTTTGGATGCGTACCGTTTGGTACCTGTGTGGTGGGTGTTGGCTCACTCCCACACCGCCACAGTGCTCTCCAGCAAGGCCAACGGCCATGTACATTGACTGCTCGGCGACCTCCACCACCATCACGCCGGTCTTTGAGGCCATCCATCTCCATCCTCCGCCATCCCGTGCCATTTGTTCGGAGTGTGGCGCCAGGGCTACATGATTACCGACGGAATTGTGCGAGCTGATTCCGGTGACTGCCGTGAGGTGTGAGCAGCTTCAAGAAGTCACCGGATGAATGTTATATATGAAATGCACAGTTCCCTATATGTCCGTATCTATCAATAGTTCATACTTGCTGAAACGACAGCCCAGGTAGACCCACAGAAACCACTTGTTGCATGATGTTCGTACGTATAATTTTGCTATATTTATTTACATGTTCCATGTACATTAAATTTGCTATGGCCATAAAATAGAAACCTGTGGTCTTTGTTTGGACATGCATAAGTTCACACGTGCACCCGATGTTGCATGCATACACGAACACACATGCAAGCTGATTCCATCAGTCGGCAAATATGGCGACCATAGGTGCGCACAAATTTGATGTAGAGAAGAAAGACATGTCTCATGCTCGCGACGTGGATGAACGTGGCAGAAGTGGTGCTGGATTGTGATTTGCTTTGACTTTGGAGCTGCTTGCCCTGCTATTGAAACACAAGCCATTTTCTCATATGTTCCACAACGCTATGTGGATCATAATTGACTCTTATCAGCTTGAAAGTTCTAGCTCCCATCCATACCTTTCCGACAACACCGCCAAAACACCAACCAACTCCTTCCGGGGATCTGCTGAGACAGAGTTCAACAAAACATCGACCAGCAAGCAGTGGTATTGACATGTGACCGACCTCCATTGACTCGACATTAATCGTTATAGTGGATAGAAAGTGGATGACACCAATCCCCCAAAAAGGATGTTTATTTACTTTGAAACGTATACATTCATGCGTTTGGCTGGATTTCCTGAATCGCGGCAACAATCGGGAAAAAGAGTATCACGGCTTTGGTGTAAACCTCCCAAGATCATCATCATCATCATCCTCATCCTCATCCTCATCATCATCCTCATCATCATCCATTGTCAGTGTGCAACTTCGGATTTGCAATGCCCTGGGACCAGAACACGCAGTGAACCCCCCCAAGCTGCCGCTAGGTCTTGCCCTCAGCTGTCGCACAGAGCCTGGAGTGCTGCCCAATCGATACACGTCGCCTCTTGGACAGGCGGGACGTTTGTTGAACGATGGTGAACGTGAAAGAAGTTCAGTTTGAAGTAGTTGCAACATTCAATGTTCAATCTGCTCGCTAATCCCTTGTGATTAGGGGCGTTCTTCAGACGGTGGCTGAAGTCCCTTAAGCCAAGGGCTTCCCCTCAGCCGGCGTCCATGTGCGTCAGCATCGCGATAAACACTTGTGTTGCCGAATGTTCTACAGATTCCATCGAGCCCTCAATCCAGTCTTTTTGAGAGTTGACACCGTAAATTTGCATTTCCTGACCGAAACTCTAGTGTGAAAAGATCCGCCACACACATAACAGCTGAGCGTCCATTCTTGTTTGGAGGAAGGGCGTCCTGTATGGCGCGTGCTCCGCCAAAATGCTTGACCATGGTTCAGGACAGCCAGCGTGATTGCGTCATGGGTGTGCGTTAAACCAGGAAAACTGCCCAAAGACCCCCTGGAGCAAGGAAAATAGAGCAAAACCCGTTGGTTGCTAAAATGCTAGCTCAAATGGGCTGCGTTGAATGCTTCAAGCCAAGGACCTTCGGATCCTCTTGGGTCCCGCACCAATGGGTGAACTCATTTGCTTTCCCAAACCTACCAGGTTCCGTCATTGACAGAGTAGATTCAGGTACCGAAATCTTCACTGTGGAAAGTGGGAAGGGAACGGTTTAACCTCGCTCTTGCTGCCTGAAGCCAGCCTTCAAAGATTGTAGCAAGAGATTGTTTGAGAGAGAAAGTCAGCATGATTGTCTCTAAGCTCAAACTTGGGCGCCAAGAAGGGACCAAGAAGTGAAGGAGGTTGGAAGAGTTCAGTGGGGGGGTCCAAGCGTGCGTCGTGTGATGCAAACTTAGGTTCAAACTGATTTGGCCTTGCAGGGTATGTGGCAAGCATTTGCTTTCATGTCTTCAGGATTGTCAAGACCATGAAGGCTGCTCATGGGAGAATTCTTGTGCTTGTCCAACATACCGAATCTGACTTTTGGAAGGTCTTGCAAGAAGCCCGGGTTTACATTGCTTTGCAATCCTTGCAATTGTTCAGGAGAATCGATCGAAGAGTTGAAGAGAAAGATGAAACCTATGAAACTGCAAATCGAAAGCCGCGGGACGCTCTACCGTGGCGTTTGCCAAGTACTCCACGAAAGCTACCGGAGATTCATCCTGGTCACACGTGAGCAGCAACTCAGCCAGATTCAGCCAGAGTGGACGGTCTCCGGCCCATGATTTTATTGCGAGGTACGAAATTGAAGGCATAATCGCACTTAATCACATACATCTTTAATAGATTTAAACATTCATATATAATCATATATATATATATATAATTTAATAAATGTATTGTTTAAAATATATAATATGACCAAATTTGATGAATTCAATAAATATATATATATTTTACATACATATAAATATAAATATATATATATTAGTTATATATAATATGGAAATTTAATCACGAAAGCTAGCGAAGCTAGCTGGAGTTACTCTTGCGATAGCAAGGTTTCTTTCGACCGGGTGCAATCCCTACCCCCGATTTTTCCAGCTCAACCCCCCCCCCCCTCCCCCCCCCCCCCCCCCCCTCATCACTCTCACTCTCACACTCTCACTGCCTCTCTCTCTCTCTTTCTCTCTCTTTCTCTCTCTCTCTTTCTCTCCTCTCTGTTTCTCGTCTTTCTGTCTCTCTTCTCTCTCTTCTCTCGCAGGAGGATCCGGGCTAAGAGCCACATATAAAGGAGGAGCCGTATGAAGACGACGGACAGAAGATCGCACCTAAGACGACCGTTGGTTAGGGTTGAGGTGCATACGAAGTGGTTGAAATTGTCTTCTAAAACCATTCAGTCTCCAAAGTCAGTGCTGACGTTGAAGCCCTGCTACCAAAGCCTATCTGGCTTCGAGATGTATTTGTAAATCGTCCTTGGCTTGCGATAGCAAGGTTTCTTTCTTAGGTCGAAGCCCCCCCCCCCTCAACACTTTCTCTCACACTCTCACTCTCTTTCTCTCTCTTTCTCTCTCATCTCTCTTTCATCTCTCTGTTCGCGCTTTCTCTCTCTCTCTCTCTCTTCTCTGTTTCTCGTCTTTCTGTCTCTCTTCTTTCTCTTCTCTCGCAGGAGGATTACTCTCACACTCTCACTGTCTCTATCTCTCTCTCTCTCTCATTTCTCTCTCTCATCTTTCTGTTCGCTCTCTTTCTCTCTCTTCTCGTCTTTCTATCTTTCTTCTCTCTCTTCTTTCACAGGAGGATCACTTTCACTCTCACACTCTCACTGTCTCTCTTTCTTTCTCTCTTATCTCTCTCTCTTTTATCTCTTTGTTCGCTCTCTCTCTCTCTTTCTCGTCTTTCTGTCTCTCTTCTCTCGCAGGAGGATCCGGGCTAAGAGCCATATATAAAGGATTCTTTACCTGGGAGTGTAGCTCCACTGGTCGGCCGGAGCCGTATCACCTCCAACTTGAAATCCTTGAAGTGGAAGACGACGGACAGCAGATCGCAGCTAAGACGACCGTTAGTCCGGGTTGAGGTGCACACGAAATGATTGAAATTGTCTTCTAAAACCATTTAGTCGAAGCTAGCTGGAGTTAGTCTTGCGATAACAAGGTTTCTTTCGACCGGGTGCAAATCCTAATCCCTGATTTTTCAGGTCGAAGCCCCCCCCTTTATCACTCTCACACTCTCACTGCATGCGGAAAAATTCGGCCGCGCTCTTTCTTTCAGCCTGTTTTTTGCTTCTTGTGAAGCTACTCCTCTCGGCCACCTTCACAACCGTATCGCTGGGTCATGGCCATGTGCTTCTTCAAAGAGATTATAGTGTACTATAGGTAACCGTATATATTTCCAATCTAACACCCAAACATTTCAAATTTCTTGGTGAGCAAGCTACGTCTATATCTAGACCTCGTATCCTAAAATACCAATATTCTTTCCACTCCCTGGTTTCGAGATCAAGTGCATACTCCTTTGCTCCATATCGATCTATTCTGGAGCGCTAGCTTTCGCTACCCCCCTTGGCCTTAAGTTATGCGTCGGATTTCGATATTAAATTAAAATAATTGAACATGTATAATATAATTGAATTTGTCGAAATTCTTTAGAAATTTAGAATTTGTGGAATGAGATATATTGGAAATTAGAAGTATAGAATTTTTAGAAATTAATAAATAATTGAATTATTTTGAATGATATCGGGAATGTTATGGATCGAATTTTCTTTGATTGATTTTTAATGGATTTTATTTATAATATCGAATTTAATTTTAATTATCTTAATTTATTTTATATTTCATTATATTATTTTATATTATAATAAAAATTACATATTTTTCTTTTTATAAATTCTTTATACTCCGATATGTTTCGTATATATTCTTTTTAATTTAATATTAATTACGTAATATCCAAACCAATATATATTCTAATATTACTAACAAATTCCGAAATATATATAATAACGACACTTAATATTTAGACTCTCAAACATAACGACACCTTATAATAATTTTAATAACGATATTAATATCCATACGACTACAATTTGGGTAATGTTAATCTTAAAGATATATAATATATTACAAAAATTAAATGAAACATATTATGATAATAAGTTATTATTAAATTGAATTCTTAAATTAATTAAAGAAATAATTATGTAGTAAAAAAATTTTTAAAAAAATTATTAGTTAAGTCGTAACAATCCGCAAAAATACATTTTTTTGAAAAATATTGATATATTTTTTGGTATAAAAATTTTTATTTTGAATATGTATTGAATAAAAGGATAGATATTATATAATTGCATAAATGGTATTAATTAATATATTAAATAAATTTCTTGGTTATAATATATATTGTAATATATTTGTTGTTGTATTATATATTATTGATTATATATTTGAATATTTCCGGATAGGCTTGCTTGGAGGAAACCATTATCTATATGAAAGATGGTGCTAACCCAATGGAAGAATATCTTCTTGTATTGTGTATGCGCCACGGTCAAAACATGCGAAGATCACTTTAGTAAAGAGGGATGGATAGGTTTGTACATAAAACCCTGCACAACGATAAGGTCCACCTCAAAATCGATAACCCCAACGCTGTATATGGTTATAAATATGCGACGAATTCAAAATGTTGTAAAATGATAAGGCCCACCTCAAAACCGATGACGTCCATTTTTTAGCTGAAGAAAAATAAGGCGTTTTGACCGTCCCTCATATAGATATAGAATGCGAGCGTGATTAACGTAATATAGGAGAAAATGGGTTGAATATATATTTGGATTGATGAGCATGTATTAGATAACACGTAACCCGGAGAAATAGAAATTAAAATCCGGAGAAAATATTGATCCGGATTAGACCCGGAAAAACCCGGATTCTGAGCGGAGAAATCCGGATTCTGACCGGAGATCATGAGCATGTAATGGTGTTACATGAGCATGTATTGTGTAATCTAGTGATTGGTGCATGTAGCCATTGGGGATCATATGGTGCCACTATTGAGCCGTGTTTGGAGTTGTTTAGACCTTGTTGAGGGCGTAACCATGCTTATTGATGATGTTGTGGTGGCAATGAAGAAGAATCTCCTGTCAGAGATTCATGGGAAATCGCATATATTGTATTATTCATCAGAGATTCCTGTCTATATTTGATTCATCATATATTATATTATTCATTATTAATCATAATCCGGAGATATTCAAATTGAATATGTATTTAATAAACATATAATGTTTTAAAATATAATCTAAATTATTATCATTGAATATGTATTTCTCAAAAAATTATATTTTGAAAGACGATATAATAATTTTAGCACTTTTGATTTAGCTAATAAATAAATTACTATTTAATTCTAAAATTAACTATTTAATTAAAATTCATTATATAAATTTATTCAGACATGTAAATTAAAAATAGATTTTAAAAAATAAGGGGTTCCAAGATGAGCCGGATACCGCGCGCCCCAAGCGATTTACTCCCAACCGCATAAAAAGGCCATCGCGAAATTCAATATTAGAAAGACATATATTTTAATATCAATTTAGAATATTTTTACATTAATAATCTATAAATAAGGCTATAAATGCAATAAACCAATCCTATCTTATTATTAAAATAAATCAGAATATATTTAATAACGGAAAATAATAACCATATCGAATAAACAAATATTAAATCATAAATTGCTTACATTCGTGCAAAACTATATCGTCTATATAATATACCAAATGCTAGTTCGACCATAAAAATAATATCAAATTTAATTTCCATATAAATAAAAACTAAACCAATATCTCCTAATTTAATAAACAATTTAGATTAAATTCATTACATTAAACAAAAATATAAACCTTTATAAATAATATTTCAATTATATTCAACCCTAATACTATTTTTTTAAAAAAATAAAATATTACATTAAATGAATTAGTAAATAATCATAATATCAATTAAATAAAAAAAACCAAACATATCTATAATAAACGACCCATAACATAAATAAACCACACAATTTATTCCTTATATTTTTCATTTCATTTCATTTCATCTGCCGGCAACCGTGCTGGTTGCCCGTGTTGGGCCGCAGCTGGATTTCTCCAGGCCGGACACTTCTGGAGTGTCAAGGCACCAGGTTCGAAAACAGGCGTGCTTATGCAAAGCGATCGTTGAGCAATTCATCAAAACTCTTTGGCTTCATAGGCAAAGGACGTTTCCAATGCTGGCTTGTGCAAGATTTGGGGATGATCCAAAGGAGGTAGATAGTGGAAGCAATGTCCGGGTCAACACCCAAAGGAAGGGCGGATCGGAAGTCATCACAAGACTTGACTGTGCCACTGTGCCAAAGAATGCTACGATAATGGCCTTCGGCGGGTGTTGCACCCAGGTGAATGACCCCCGCGGTCACGACAAAATCATGCCACTCAACATGGATGCCTTGGCGATCACTGAAAATCGGAATCTGCACGGGCTGACTTCTATCCCATAGAACCGAACACTGGCTTTTCTGGCCTATGAAGGGAAACCGGGACACCTGAATGCAGATCCAAGGGGAGTCACATGTAAAAGCATGGACAAAAGGCTCTTGATGATGCCAGTTGTTGATCAGCTGCTGAAGGGTAATGAGACCTTCAATTGGACATGCCATAGGAACAGGAGCGAACACGTCAGCTTGATCTTCTGTGGAATTCAGCAATCGAGAGCTCCAACCCTGCTGCATATACTGTGGGAGCGTTTTTTCAAGCAGCCGATGTCGAAACCATCCAGCAAATTCACCAGCATCATGCTGATCACG